GAATGAGAGGCCAAAATTGGCCTCTTGGCCACACAAAAATCGTGAGCGGCGGGTCCCACCACTAAAAATCCTTTTTGACTTTTCTTTTTCCTTTTATTTCCCACCACACACACTATATATACAAGCTATATAATAACCACATAAAATACAATAAATAAAATAAATGAGATGCAAATGGACCTAACCAAAACTCCCGTACGCGAAAATTCCGGTAGCGGGTCCCACAAGGGACCTTCGGGCCCGAAAAACAAAAAAAATGCCAAAATGACAACCATTGCATTTCTAAGAGTCTTGAACTCAAAGAAATACTCTAACCAACTCTCGGACACACCCGGCACACCCCACGATGTCCGGCACGTAAAACGGGAAAAGTCAAAAGTGCCCTTGCAAAAACAGGAAATTCTATAAATTGGAAAATAGTGAAAAACAGAAATATTACAGCAGTTTGGTATGTGGCAGCCTTGGCAGCTTCCATTTGGCTAGATTTTGGACTGCCAAGTGCCCCATGATCTCTTGGCAGTTGTAACCATCTTCTTCCATTATTCCTAGTCACGAGTAGTTTCTTGCAGTCAATCTTCCACTTGATTTCTTCATGAGTCAACATATGTCCCACGATTTCTTGTTCCCCTTCCTCTGTAGTAGATTTCCTTCTCTTTCAGACACGACTAGTCTTGTCATCCATGATCTTTAATAACTTACCTCAGGTAATGGCAGTTACCTTCTGAAGCACCACCACTTTCAATTGAAGTGTTTTGTTTAGCCAAGTAACCCATTACCTTTGAAGTCTTTCCACTTACAGAGACCTTCCTTTCACGTTTTCCTTATCTTTTGGTAACTTCCTTCACTCAAATTCTTATTCCTTTCATGGCGTTGTGGCCCTTCATAGTTTCACTGACTCTTCACCGTGGGTTGTATTTGTGGCACACATCCTTGATTTTAGCGATTTCCTTTCATCGTGGGCTGTTTCTGATACATATATATATATATATATATATATATAACTCAACCTCCACGTCTGCCAACTAGTCTCCTTAATTTTAGCAACTTTCCTTCAAACCTTCCTCATCTAGATTCAGAATCCACCTCCACGTCTGCCAACTAGTCTCCTTAATTTTAGCAACTTTCCTTCAAACCTTCCTCATCTAGATTCAGAATCCATGGCGCCATGAACTCTATTTCAGCGGTCTTTTTATCGTGGGCTTAATCTGACACAATATATATATATATATATATATATATATATATATATATATTATATAAACAGGTTAAACCTCCACGTCTTGCTAAATTTTAGCAACGATCTTCGACTTGGTTTAGACAATTGCCGAAGTCCCCCAAAAAGAAAGAGAGAATTCAGCCCCCACATTCCTCTTTTGCTCAACCTTGCCAATTTTGGTAAACCCCCATTACTTGGAACTCTTTTGCAAACATAAACCTTCTGTGATAACAACTCCTATAAGAATTGATAAGCTATAGTAAATCCTATAGTAACTTGCCATGTGTTGAAAAACAACTAGTCGGATGAACATTGACTTGGATGACTGCATGAAGGTGCATATAGTGTAGTGCTTCTATGAAATAATTCCTTTATTCCAAAATAGGAAAATGTGGGTTCTTGCTTTAAAGATGGCAATAGAGAACTTCATGTGGTGGGATTTAATTGGTCCACGTATTCCTTGCTTCCACATGAAAATCACGTAATTTTAATACCCTGAATAGAATTCTTCCAAAGTTGTGATCTGGCGTTGCAAGTTCCATTGGAACTTGCCACATACCTCTACTTTATTGGTAAATTGTATCCAATCTATTTTCACAATTCCACATCATATGTTCTTCTTTTGGACATTTAAAGTACCAATACAGTGTGACAAGCTCATTGGAACTCGCCACATGTCGCCTTTCCATTGGGCCAAAAATAATGGAGTAAACAATAATATTTAAACTAGGATTACTTTTTTTTTTTTTCAACTTCTTTTTGTTAAATTTCAACTTATTGTATGTTAAAATTTAGGAAAATTAATTTTCTAAAAATTTATTTGTAATTTATTAAAAATCTACAAAAAGTCTTTAAATTTTTTCTTATTTAAGAGAAATTTAATTTAAAACTAATTCAAGATCATATTAAATTTTCAGTGTAAAAATTAGACATATAAGTAATCCAAATTAACCTGAAATTTTTATTCATAATCTAAGCTCGAGTTGCAAGCCCGAATTTAAAAGTAGAATGATGGGTTGGGCATGGGTTGAGTAGTTAAAGTTCTAGATAAGGTTAAAATTGAGGTTAAATTTAGTATTTCATATACTAAGTTGGGCTCAAATTATACTACAAACCCGCCTAACTCGTCCAAATTGCAATCCTAATCTTTAAGTGGTTGAAACTTAGGACTCTATCTTCATCTTATGACTTAGCGTGGCACGAATTGATCAAGTAGGTGATCAATGGATCTGTCCATCCTTGACAACAACATTTAAAATTAAAAATAAATAAATAAAAATCATGTGCACTAAATAGAAATCCAAAACATGTCATATATAAGGAACGTTTGTGTTTTGATTTTAGCGTGGCACTAATTGATCAAGTAGGTGTTCAATGGATCTGTCCATCCTTGACAACAACATTTAAAATTAAAAATAAATAAATAAAAATCATGTGCACTAAATAGAAATCCAAAGCATGTCATATATATAAGGCACGTTTGTGTATTGATATTGGAAGCAGTTCATCTATAATTGGTTTCTTGTATTATTATTATTATTATTCTAAGCGTTGTCCTTTTACACCATATGTAATTTGTACACTTTCATGTTTGGCATTTTGTCTCTCTTAGCTGTTAGTGTTAGGTAACATGCAAGCAAATAGGAGTGAGTGGTAATTGAGAAAGTTGTCAAGTGTTTAGTCATTAAACCAGCCCATTACTACAGATATTGGCCTGCTGATTCTCTAATTTTTGACTTCCAACAAATTAACCTTTACATAGATAGTTGGGTCAACCCATACATGATCCCTCAGGTTTTCGGATCCGGGTCAATCTCAGATCCAGTCCGTAAATTATGCCCCATCCAGAAAACCTTAGAAAATCCACATATGTTGACAACAATTTGAAAATTGTATATACTTAAAGGAAAAAAACATAAAAAGTTCCTTTCCTTCAAGAATTTTTTTTTTAGAATAAAACTATTTTAGTATCACTTTACAAATAAATAGGGTAGTTGGGTCAACATGTGTATGAGTTAATCTGAACTCAGCCTTCTAAATTATGCCCGATTTTAAAAAATTACTATAAAAAAGTTACCATTGATAATGTTGAATTTCACCCTAGCCGGAGAAAAGTTTATGGGATAGAATTTTGATACATCATATATATATATATATATGTATATACACATGCACAAAAAAAAATTCACCTTAATAATTAGTGTAAAATGTGACCTATTGATATCTGATGACAGGATAAAAGTGAAAACATATCCAATAAATTGTGAAATCTACTTTAAATCAGAACAAAATGATATATATATTATATAAATATCTGTATATACACATGCACAAAAAAAATTTCACCTTAATAATTAGTGTAAAATGTGACCTATGGATATCTGATGACAGGATAAAAGTGAAAACATATCCAATAAATTGTGAAATCTACTTTAAATCAGAACAAAATGATGATGCACATTCTTTAATTATTAAGAATGTGAAACAAATGGATTGCAAAGTCATCATCCTCCACTTTTCTATTGATAGTGATAGTTGCTTCTCATACTTGATAAGCGAAACCATCCATGCGTCTAGAAGGAAAAAATTGTGTGGATTATAGAAAATTAGTTGTGCACACTAACTTACTTTTGAAATTTTCTACTCTCATTTTAAAAGTCTCTCTTTTATGAACCTAAAACCTGAATCTTTAATTTGTGAGAATTACAATTTTTTAAAAGAGATATTTTTTTTTTTTGAAAACAGAAAAAATATTTAAAGTCTTTGTTATATTTTCAACTCTACATGTTTCACCTTTTCTTGATAATATTTAACTAATTTTAATATATATATATATATATATGTATGTATATGACTTTTATACTGGTGAACACTTAACTCATACATGTACTTTTTGTTCAGCGACTCCAATCTCTATGTTCATCTTTAAAGAATGGGAGGTTATATTATTGGTTATAATTTTAATATGAAAGGGTGCACCTTATAATTTAAATATCATGATAGGAGTAGATGAACCTCATTTACTCAATCTTTATCGTATATATATATTTAGTAGTTAAATACGGAGTATAATTTAAGGGTAGAGTGGGCCAAAAAAATATATTTAAGGACATTTTAGGTAATTTAATCAAAATTTCTTTATTTGCTCAATTTAAAAGGAATTTTTGGAACACCCGGAGGTATTTGCATGTTTTGTATATATATATATATATATATATATATATATATATATATTGTTTGGTTGCACTTTATTACTTTACCTTTAATTTAGTAAATTATAATAGTAAAGCTATTGATGTAATTTATCAATATAAAATAACACATAATCTAATTAATAGTATCTCTCTAAAAATTAGTCAAAATGGATGTGTATATATATATATATATACATATTGTTTGGTTGCACTTTAGTACTTTACCTTTAATTTAGTAAATTATAATAGTAAAGCTATTGATGTAATTTATCAATATAAAATAACACATAATCTAATTAATAGTATCTCTCTAAAAATTAGTCAAAATGGATGTATTGCACTTTACCTTTACTAAAAAAAATAAAGAAAATCGATGAATTAAATACAATTATTTAAATTTGTTTCTAAAACTTGCAACTTAAAAAAAGGAATTCAATGAATTTGTTTCTAAAAAAGGAATTGGATATCCAAAAAAATATTTTAAAAATTATTTGGGGGCAATTTAGTAAATTAAGTGGTATGAAACCGAGTAAGAAAGAGCCAACCATGAGCCAACTTTCCTTTTCTAAGATTGCGTATCCATTACAACTCCTACCCCCAACTCAAAGCGGAAACAAACCCATATAAAAAGCCCCCTTATTGGAAAGTACCTCAAGAAACCCTAATTTCCCAAAGTCTCCCATTGAAGAAAAAATCTCTCTCTACCTATACAATCTAAGATCATAGTAGATTTAGAAGAAGAAGAAAGAAGAAGAAGAACCGATTGTTGTTGGATTTGAAGAAGAATAACCGATTGTTGAATTTGTTGCTCGTTTGTTGTTGTGATGTTAGTTGGTCCGAAGATGGTAGCCGAAGCAGAGATCATCTGTCAACAGAACATCTCTGTTCTCGATGTTCAGTACCTTTGCTCTCCAAAAGCGTCGATCGAAAAGGACTTGTTCGATTTCTCTACGCCGTCGTCGTCTCCGGTCTTCTGCGAGGTTCGCGACTCGATCTCTATCGATATGTCTCGCACCGAATCGGTATGTTGACTCTCTTGATTTCTGGGTTTTGTTTGCTTTTGCTGAATCGTTGTATATCAGTCAGATTATGTGATGATTTTGTTGGTATATATCTATGTTCTCTATGTTTGTGTTTACGATATCTATGTATAGATTCATGTAAGAGTTAAAACAATTTTCTGCTTTTGTTAGTGGTTGAACCTTCATGTTTGATCATTACTTTTGTTGATTAATTTGATTTTTTATTTTTTGTTTGCCCTAAATTATCTAGGTTTGATCATTACTTTTGTTCATTAATTTGGTTTTTTTATTGTGTTTTTTTGCCCTAAATTTGTATTAAGGGAAAATCACTCTGTTTATTGTTTTGGTTGTAATTGAATATATATTACAATATATATATAAATATATATACACACATACATAACAAAATTATTTGTTTTTTTTTCCTTCTACATAATTTAGCATTTACTTTACCGCTAATGTTACCTTCTTGTGAAGAAACAGGTTGAAGCATGCATAAAGGCTATTCTAATACTTGCCTATTTGAAAATTGATTGATTTGTTGTGAAACTATTTTTATTGGCCTGTAACTGATTCTAATACTTGCCTATTTGAAAATCGAATTAGTTGTTAATAACTTCAATTTCTTGTGAAACTTTTTTTATTGGCCTGTAACTGAATTGGGACCTTATGTAATTGTTTAGCCAATTTGTGAAATTATTGTTTGCTTCCACTTTTTCCTATAAATTAATAGGAGAAGAAAACACAAAAAATACTTGTTGGAAGGTTATTTTTTAATATATTATGGATTTAATATTTCAGTGTTGGGATGTTATCATAATTTATGTACTTCTTGTAAGTGAACTTCTTTGTGTAGATAGTTCATGTATTATGACTTCATTAGTTCAATTTTGGGGATGCTATCAAAGCTGTTACATTTTGTTAAATGTGCAGTTTATTTGTTTCTGGCTTGAACTTTACCTCACCATCTGTTTTTTCTTTTTTCTTAGGTTGTGAGCTGCTCAAGTAGCATTCAGACTACTACTATTGTTGAGTCTTCCGCCAGAAAGTTTGTTCCAAGCATTCGATCAGGCAGCCATGTGGACATTGGATCCCGGGAACTAATGGAAGATGAACACATTCGGATTGATGATTTATGTGCCCACTTGGGCTCTCCCTTCCGGTGCAATATGCCAAGTGCTTTTTATGCTGTTTTTGATGGACATGGAGGACCCGAGGCTGCAGCTTATGTCAAGAATAATGCTATGAGATTATTTTTTGAAGATGCCAGTTTGCCGCAAACATCTGATATTAATGATGCTTTCCTGGAGGAGTTGGAGGATTCTCATCGCAGAGCATTTCTGCTGGCTGACCAAGCCTTGGCTGATGAATTTAGTGTTAGCGACTCTTGTGGAACAACAGCATTGACTGCTCTAGTACTTGGCAGCCACTTATTGATAGCTAATGCCGGTGACTGTCGTGCGGTTCTATGCAGGAAAGGAGTGGCAGTTTCGATGTCTCAAGATCACATCCCTTCTTATCTACCAGAACGCAAGAGGGTCGAGGAGCTAGGTGGTTTCATAGAGTGTGGTTACCTTAACGGTGAACTTGCAGTCACTCGAGCCCTTGGAGATTGGCACATGAAATCCCTCCATGGGTCTTTATCGCCTCTCACTGCAGAGCCGGATATTCAACAGTTCATGTTAACAGAGGAAGATGAGTTCTTGATCATTGGTTGTGATGGGATCTGGGATGTGATGTCAAACCAGGATGCAGTTAGTCTTGTTCGCCGTGAGCTGAGGCGGCACGATGACCCCCAGCAATGTGCCAGGGAACTCGTGAATCAAGCATTACGCCTACATACAACTGACAATCTCACAGCCATCGTTGTGTGCTTTACTTCCCCGGATTGTCGAGAATCGGCTGCTCCTCAGCGACCAAGGTTTAGGTGCTGCAGCTTGTCTGAGGAGGCCCGGAACAAATTGAGGAGCTTGCTAGAAGGCAACTGACTGTAAATCCAGATTATTTTATTGCTGATTAGATTAATTAATCTGATGTTTTGAAAAAGCTGCAAATAGTTTTGTAGGAGTAGAGGAGGTAGAGCTTTTGATGTCTAATCTCTTTCTATGTAACATTGTTATATTTTTTGTTTAACCTCAATAACAGTTGAGGATTTAACCACCAAATTGAATTTGTAACTCTTTAATATTTATAATTGGTGCTCATAAAATGGCCATACAAAGCAAAGCTCACCCAGTATAAAGAAACATGCCCCAACTGAGACCACCAATGCTTTTATATACTCGATTACCACACTAGAAAATGAAAATATTGCAATTCATTCTCTCTACCTCACGCTTTAATTTCCTTTTTTTGTTTTTTGTTTTTTTTTTTTTTTTTTTGTAATTTGAATGTTAAATCAGCTCTCCTTTTTCAATTGTCTACTGAAGAGACAAATAAGAAGTCAATTACAGAAACAAAGTTAAGGGTCTTGTAAAATTGTACTTAAATTAGGCCTCCTTTTGTTTGAACGGAAATATTTTTTTTTTATTTTTTTTGGTATTTGGTTGCCGTAAAATATTTATGAAGAAAAAAAATATTAAAATTTAATAAAAATAATTTATTCATAAATTTTTTTTTATTTTTTTTGGTATTAAAAAAAAATATTAAAATTTAATAAAAATAATTTATTCATAAATTTTCGACAAATTATTTTACATGCCCCTCGATGGACTCGACCTCAACTTTGACATAAACCTTTGTCAAATACCGACAAAGTAAAAATAAAAGAATATTTTATGTGAAAAAATATATATTTTTTAAAAATACATTGAAACAAACATAGCTAGATTCCACAAAAAAAGGAAGAAAATATTAGGGTCTGGTGGAGGAGAGAAAAAGAAAGGAGGAGAGAGAGAGAGAGAGGGGGAAGAGGAAGGAAATATTAGGGTTTGGTGGAGGTGAGAAAAAGAAAGAAGATGTTTAGAAAGAGAGAAGAGGATGACAAAACTAGCATAAACTAATTTAAAAATATAATTGGTGGAGTGTTACAGTATTGTTTTGAAATGTAATCTTATAAAATTTAAAAATTAGTGAGAGCAACTAATCCTAGACCATAGCTACAGCAGATTGCAGCAAAATTAAGTAATAAATTAGTGTACAAATAAAATAACATATACACAAACTCTGTTTCCGGAATTGAATAGGCAACTGACTGTAAACACAGATTATTATTTGGTTGCGTGTAAATATGATTAATTAATGGATAGGTTTAGATTAATTAATCTGATTGGTTGTGGCAGTTTTGTTGGCGCAGAGGAGGTAAGAGCTTTTGATGTCTTAATATTTTTTATTTTTATTTTTAACACATTTTATATTTTTGTTTAAGGTTACCAACAATTGAACTATTACTCTTGAATATTTAAACAAAATGTGGTTGCCCGTTCAACTCTATAGATAATTTTGAATATTCTATGCAATGAATATTACTCTCATATTTGAACACTTGTCTTCATGTTCTCAAATACAACATTTTCTTGGTATTGGTGTGTAGGACAATGTGTACTACAGTCAGATCATATTGAGCTTATATATAACAAAATTTATGCACATCTCAAAGTATTAATCGTGTCTCAAGTATTAATTGTTACAACCATTTATGTTGTTATTTCCAACTTTTAAGATTTAATTGTGTATAAATTTATTCTGTTTGACCTTTTTTATTAGCAAAATTTTTATAACGTATTCTTTATTTAAAAAATTGAATTATATTCATTTGTTTTTGAATTTAGTTTTTTTTGACGCACGGTATTTTACTAACTATGGATATGAGTAAGTGAATAGTCCTATATATCATAAATGTTCACTTGCTCCTTTATTACTATTTATCGCGTGAGTAGGTAAGGTGAACAGTCCTATGTGTTTTTTAATGTGAAAAAAAAATGTATGCACACCTTATGTATTAAACATTATATTATATTGAGCAGTTAAAAAAATCATTTATGTCAGCTTTATTTTTCTTAAGCATTATTTGTTAAACTATGGAATGGTCCGTACTCATAATATTAGGAATGTCCGAAAAAGCAATGGAATGGATTTATTAGGCCAACGGTGATGAAATAAAAGATACTAATTTCTTAAGGTAATAAATATTCTTTACATGAAACGAAATAGGTTTGACTTTAGATTTAATTTGGATTTTAATTTTAAATAAGGATTGAAAAACGGGTTGGTTGTTGAATATGAATTTTTGGTGAATGAGATTTATTACCTATTTGGATAGAAAATTTATTATTATTATTTTCTGCATGAATTGAGTTTTACCGTTGTAATAAATAGATCTAAAGACTTATAATAACACATAAATCCGTTAAAATCTTGCTTTTCTTTATATATATACTGTATTAAAATTTCAGTAAAACTTGGAACAATAAAAGGCAAGCCCAAATTACCCACTCCATATGTTAAAAGACTGGACCTACCCATTAATTCGGAAAAAGCCACATCATTCGAAATAGGCCGAAGAAGGCCCCCAAGCTATATTCACCATTACAACAAATTGGGATTTGGGAGGGATCAAAAAAGGTTGAACCTTCTTGGCTAATCGTTCAGAGCGGAATCAAAGCCTCTTCAAGAATCATTCAGAGCGTAATGAAAGCCACCCTTCAGAGCGATTTCAGTTGAGGAAATCATTCAAGAATATGTCAAACCCTCCTCCTCCTCCATGGCTTCTCTCTCTAAAACCCTCTTACGCCTCCATTCAATAGCCTCTTCCGCCTCCATGTAATAGCCTCTTTGTAACGATCCCGAGAGATCTGGATTGCTAACTGATAAGCGTCGAATATTACATATTCAAGTGCCCTTAATTGCATGATTTAGTATATTTAGCGTGTTAATAAAGTATATTTTACAGGCTTTGTTGTGCATTATCTATTTTCAGAGCTTATCTCCAAATTGGGGTAAAAGCGGGTTTTTACGGAGTTTTAACGAACAAGGTGCTTGGCGAGCAATGGAAACAGGCAAAATGGACCCAAGTCCAAGAGCATGCTCAGCTTGAGAAAGAAATCAAACCCGAGAAGCTAAGCAAAAAAGAAGAAATTCAACCTTGAAGAGCAAGGTTGGCGTCCGAACGCAACCTCCAAGACGATTCTTGGCGTCCGGACGCCCCTTGTAAATCGGGGCTAACAATTGCAATTGCAAATTGAAATGAATTCCAGTAGCCAAGCAAATTGGCTTCTGGACGCAGAGCTGGACGCCCAGCTCTGCATTCGGACGCCAAGTGCCATAGGCTATGCACACCAGCACCTAGCGCGTGCCTTGGTAGCTAACTTGACACTTAGCGTCCGGACGCCCGTCTTGGCGTCCGGACGCCAACCTGCGAGTTAATATTTTATTTTGAATTTTTAGTTATTTTTCTCTCTTCTCCAACTTGAATGCACGAGTTTTGGGGGGATTTTGACTGATTTTGATCAGAAAGGGTTATATATAGCTCTTTATGTTGTAATACAGATCATATATCATTTCATATTCAAAATTTGTAATTTTCTAGAGAGAGAAAGTGAGGAATTACTAGGGTTCTTGAGTGTTCTTGGGAGTGGCTGCCATGGAGTTAAAGATGGAGGCTTCCTCTTCAACCATTGAAGCTTCAACCACCACCAGGATGAGCTAAATCTCCTTCTAGGGGATTGAGGTAGCCTTGACCGATTTAAGCATGTAATTCTTGTATTTTAATTTGGGAAAACAATGTTGTATGTAACAGATTTCATGAATGAGATGAAAAGTCATATTAAAATTGGTGTTTTCACATTACATTGATATATGATTTGTACTGAATTTATAATATATAAGTATGTCTACTATGCAATTCTTGTCTTAGAACCATGTTTACATGCTTGTGTCCTTGATATTCTTAAAGTGACATTAAGAATGGAATTCATGAAATGGTTTTATGGGCATGTCATGTAAAAATTTAGATAAATTATGCCAAGGGAAGATGAACCATGCTACACCTTAGATTAATGTAGTTAGGTAGATAGTTTATGCCAACCAAAGATAGTTTTTGCTAAATGATTGACTTTCATGTGCTAAACTTGTAAATTCAAGACCTTGATAGGCCATACCTAGGGAAGATGGCTCATCCCACACCCTAGTTTAGGTGAATGAGCCATTCTAACAGCAGATGGGTTATGTTTAGTCTTGAATTGCATGATTTTCTGGAAAATTGTTATAATTGTTTTAGGCTTCTACATTTTATCATTACACGTAACAACTTTCCTCAAATTATATACATTGTAGCATGTGTTATGAGTTTTTGGTGAACTAAATTCCTTAGCCTCTCCTATTTGTTAATTCAATCTTGAATTTGATTTAATTCTATTTTTAATTTTATGCAAAGTGACAAACAAACAAACCAATCTTCAAACCATCTCGTGACATTTATAAGCTTGAAATTAGTCTTTGAAATCTGATTTCCATAAGCTTCACAATCTTCGTGGATTGATACCCCTACTTAGCCACTTTCTACGTGAATTTATGTTGGAATCGGTGGTTTATAATTAATGTCACCTTGCGCGACACATCAATTTTTGGCGTCGTTACCGGGGATTGCAATCGGCTTTGTAATAAAAAATTTCAAAGATTAAATTTAGTTTGTTTGTAATTATAAATTTTGTATATATTTTTATGTTTTTCATTTGTTTGCCAAGTGTTTTAAGTGCAGATTTGAAAAAGGGGACTGCTTTGAGGTGTTGATCAAGTGCTGAAAAATCCGGAAAGTTCTGGAAATTTGGAGAAATTGCACCCCTTTGTAAGTGTTTCAAGTTGATTTTTGCTACACTTGAATTTTTGGTAATATTTGCTTTATATGGATGCATGCTAGTTGGTGTTGGTTCATAGGTAGCATTGCCAACCATTGAAGAACAAGTTGACATAGCTTCATTAGAAAGAACTCTTAGACAATGAAGAAGGAACCTTAGGGATCCTGTAAATTTAAGAGAACTTGAACTTGAAGTTAACAACATGGCTAAAAATTTGGAAAATGTTAGAGATAATGTTAGGGTTGCAAATCCTAGAGTCAATAATGCTGAAATTGCTAATGAAAATGTAGCAGTCATGACTCTTAGGGACCATTTTATCCCATCAACATACACATCTCCATCTTGGATCGTCATACCCAATGTCGATACTCATCATTATGAAATAAAATCCAGCATAATC